TAGACTTGCATTCTTTTTACATCAAACAGATCCTGTATTTCCCATTTCTAGATCCATTTCATTTTTCCGCTCTCACACATTAATAAAAATATGCGGTATGGAGATTAATTATTTTAAAATAAATTAGGTTTCCTAAAATACATTCACATCTATAGAGACCTGATACGTCACGTTTTCTGCACGAGTCTAATTCGCCTTTGGAGATAAGCTTACGCTAGGTATTTTCTCCGTGAGATTTGTTTGTTTCAATATATTGTTTCAGAATAAATCAGGCAGACCAAATGCTATCGGTTCCAGCTTCTCCTATAGAAATGACACATTTTTCAGGTCAGACATCTGGGAACCAAACCACAGTATGTGAAACACGCTCAGCCTTGTTTAGAAAAAGCAGCTTTAACAGAGATTAATAATTAATTTTTCTCCTGAGTGCAATCAATTTAAGCCAAAGCCTACTCCAAACTTAAGTAGCAAATTGTTCCCAGTGACACTGCCTGCTATTTGTCCACAACATCATCCACAACAAACTAATTACAGTGATTACAGTTTCTTTTAACTTTCAAGGAGAGCCCTAATGACTGSACTTTGGAACATTTTTCTGCTAGCAACAGGACCGTCGGCCACTGGCGACTTAYGCTTCAGACTTGGACATGGTACAAATCTGCAAAAAAAATCCTGTATATAATTAGGAGTCTTCTGCAAAGGGAAATGAAGGTTATTTGTGTCTGTGGGCAGGGGGTGTTTGGGGTGTGCAACAAGGGGGGGCTGCCAGAAGGGATATTGTCTGTAACGTTTATCCCAAGCTGATTGCACAAACCTAAAATGCATCCCTACACAGCCACCTGAGAATTCAGTAATTGTTCCTTATGCAATTCCACCTGAGGCACTTTAAGCAAACACTGCAGAAATAATACGTGGAAAACTCGGCTAACCACAAAATTGTTTTTTAAGGAGAAGTAGGAAACTCTACACGTGGATGCCATTGGGTCTGTGCTTCCATCTCTGCTGGAGCCCTGTAATCCTCATTAATCTGCCGCTGGTTCCTGGAAAGTACCTTTTCTCCATCAATAAAAATCCAGAGATCTGTTGGATTAATTTACGCCTCTTCCTCAGAGCTGAAGCTGTGCAGACAAACGCACGATTTCAGCAGACATGCCTCAAAATTTACTCTATATTTTCCCTTGCTGCAGACTCTGCCAAACCAAGCAGAAAGAAAAAGAAAAAAAAAAAGAAAAAAGAAAGAAAGAAATCAAAGCTGGGAACAATGTTACCGCAGGGTGCCAAATTTGCAGTGAAAGTCCCGTCGGCCGCTGTCACGCAAAGTTTGACACGTCTTGCCAAATGGTTTCTGCGCGATACAAACCGCTTGYAAAGTGACTGGGCCCTTTGTGTCGCAGCTGAAAGCTGCAGATGGGAAGGGCTCTGCCAGGAAAGGGGAACTGCTGTTTTCGCCCCGTGAAGCTTCACGCACGCAAATACGAGCACGCTCCCCTGGAACAGGGCACTGCTCCATACCTTCAGCAGCGTTTTTGTTCCAGTCGGTGCACACTGCACCCAAAAAGCAATGGCAAGTTTTGCTGCTTAGAAATAAAAATTAGAGAGGCATTCACGATGCACTACCAACCCAAGATCCAGCACAAGGCAGATAAAGGGCTTATTCAATTTCCAAACTGCATAAACTTTAGTCTCTATTTAGAAACTCAGTCTATGAAGAGGCCTTCCTCAGGAGAGGAAGATGATGCCCTGTAGATCCAAAATACCATAAACCAGAGCAGAATACAAGCAGAGTGCCACCCAAACAGGCACAAGCTAAAGTCACCCTTGTTCCTTCCACATAAAATCAGTTGAACACGCATTATATGGTGAAAGTGATTCTGACAAGCAGTTCTTCAGAAGGCTACAGAAAAAACTACATGCTTTCAATAAGATGCTTTTCACATTATCAGGCCTTAGACTTAATACTATTCCCTCCACTCAAAATCTTTAAGTGCAGCTCTGCTCTGCAAGGTAGTAGAGCTTAGGGTTTCCGTTTATTCCACTTTGCAATTTATACACAGGGAGACTGGGACACTCTCTGCCCTCGGCAGCCCAATACTCAGCCAGGTCAGCAATAGTGTAGAATGTGCATCCTTGACTCACTGCCAGCTAGGCTTTGTTTTGGCAAACTGCACATGCGACAGACACACGTGCATGTAGGGAGTGGATCACCRGGCACTGGCCAGCCACGTAAATGGCACGTGCTTGGCGAGGGAAGATGCACATGAGAGCAGGAGCTCGTGGCCAAGTGCAGAACAACCTCAACAGTGAGTACCAACCACCGCAGATACTGCACGGGCAGACAGGACCACACCAGGGCAGCAAGCGGGAGAGTGGCAGGAAGGGGCATCTGGGGTATTGAGGGAAGCTCTTAAACGCAGGCAGATTTTAAGACCAACCTGATAAGGTGCAAATATATCAAGATGAGCTATAAATGTGCAGATACTGTCAGATAAATTTCCTGTTATTTTCAAATCCCTCCTGAGTGCACTCATTTGATCATGCACAGGGATATTAATRAAAAGGTCTACCAGAGGCCTGTGTGGAATTGGCCAATATCCGAGCAGGGTCAGCGATGGGTTAAGTCATGTAGGGCCCTCCTAAGCAGCCAGGGGAATGCAAATGTGTCCAGCATGTTTTCCWAAATGGAAACTCAAAATTTGCTCTCTGCTGTAAGTTCTGCAAGAGACATTTAAAACCCAATGCTGCTGAGAACATGCCAGTGCAGTTTTAATTCGCACAGCTGCAGACAGCCAGTCCAGAAAAGGCTTTTCAGAGCTCCACACAAACACTCTTGACATTTTTTCCCCTATCATGTCTAAATGGGCCCATTTAGGTATTTGTAACTGTCAGAAGGAATCTGTTCTTGATAGCTAGCAGAAGTAAAGCCCAAGCATAAAGAGAATAGGATTAAAAATAAATAAGACTATTTATACCTGTTTTAATCTGAGAACATGTGGAACCAATTGCTAGGAGGCCTGAGATTCAATTTTTGGTGCTAACAAAGAAAACTAAGTTGACAAATATGTAGCAATCAAGATACCTACAAATGTCATAATCCCCTTGTAGAAAGGATCTTTTGTTTGCAAGATCCAGCAAATCACCTTCTCTCCGGTTTTAAAAATAAAAGAGAACCACAACAAGAGCAAGTATAAGAAATCAGAGACAGACCATAAAAATTCCTTAACTTTGTCTTCACTGATTTTCCTAAATTTTGAAGTTAAGCCAAACAGCACCACTGGCCTCCCTGTCTAACAGGGAAGACAGGCAGCACAGACTGCTAAAACAGTGAACTGGGTGGCAGAGCCAAAGCCCCAGCTGTTAAAGGTAGRGGCTGCAACGTCTTGCCCTGCGGGCTGAAAGGTGAGGAAGGAAGAGGGCCGCTCTGCTATTCCCGGGCTTAGCTGCCGCCAAGATCTAGAGTTACTTCTCTGGAGCTACAGGACAGTCTCGCTTCTCATTTTCCTGTGCAGAAAGGAGAGGCTTCAGAGCATGGAGCTATTTCCAAAAGACTGACAATTAATTTATCCAAAAATGTTCCACATACTAAACTCCCTGAGTGGCACAGGACACAGTCATGGGAGAAGTTTCTCTCTTTCTTTGCACACCTACTGGCACAGAAATAAACTGCTACCACAGCCTAGTCTAAACTGCACTTCAGAAAACTGGTTTACACCACAGGAAGAAAACTTTAAACTACTGTTTTAAAGGGGGGAAGACTTACTTTCATTCTGACATTCTGGTTTGGTAATCCTGTTTACGAAGGGATTTCAATTAGCTGGGTTATTCCCCTCTTCTTACTTTGAAGCCATTTCAAATCCCCTGGAGAATTGCCTTTTGAAATTAAAGTAATCAACAAAGCTAATTGTTTAGCACCTTCAGTTTTCAAACTGCTTTTGCATCTTTGTGGAAGGATAGGCTGCTACTTCATATTAGCAACCCAGCTCAATTAGCTGAAGGAAACTATTGCCACCAGTTCAGTCAGAACTGAACAAGACATCGAAAAGAACATTTGTCTGGGTGASAAATGTAGGCATTTGAGAGAATTAGGGGAATAATTTTTGAATTTGACCTCACGTTTGCTCCCATATAGCTTAAACTTAATGCAATAAATCTCAGAAAAGTTGTGATCTCCAGAGATAACTCATGACCTCCCTCCTGGAAGCCTATCATAACAGATGGATAACTCACCCAGCTTYGCCTGCATTAGATGATACACGTCTGCATTAGATTGATAAAAGTTTGAGCAGYAGATAGATGGGTTAAGCATACTGCAATTTTAAAATATTTCTTCCCAAAGCAAGGAGGGCACAAGAGAATCATAGAGTATTCTAGCAGATACGCTTTCAGTGATTAGGAATGAGCACTGCAAGGATTCCTCCTATGCAAAGTCAGAGGGAGAAAACGACACTGTTTTCAGAGAGGACAGAAGATGAAAAATGACTTTTCCTCCACGTGTCTGGACACCACGTAATCCAAGGAGGTCTGGAATTAGACTCTCTAGGTCCCCACAACCATCTTCTCCTGYACACAAACCTTGCATGGTGTCTTTTGCATGCAACAATTTCAGATACTGGTGCCAAGCACCACAGTCAAGTAAAAGCACCGTTTAAATAGGTTCTACTTGAGCATCCCAGTTCGTTTCAAAATGCCTCCGATAAAACCTGAGATTTTAAGTAATTAAATTATACCTGGTACAAGGGCAGGGATGTTATCTTTTCCAATGCTTATCCAATGGCAAAGTAAACCACACTTGTTAGAAAAGTTTCCTAAACAAGGAGAGCATGAGTGTGATTCCTTTCTTCTCAAAGACCTTGTTCTGTTAACCATAACATTCAGATTAATAGGACAATAAAGCTTCTTGAAAAATGGATAAACAGATACAAGGCTTAAACCTGAACCTAAGAACAGTGCTTTTTTTCCTCCCCCTCTCAATGAACGTACACAGCTACTCCTATATTACTCACCTCAATTTTATCTGTTTTTGCATCTCCCCAGTAAAGCTTGTCTTCCTGCAGATCCAATGCCAAGCCATTAGGCCAACCTAGGGACGTATTCACCAAAACTCTCCTCTCCGAGCCATCCAGATAAGCGCATTCTATCTTTGGACTTTCACCCCAGTCTGTCCAATACATGTAACTGTAAAAAAATTTAAAAAAAATTTAAAAAGAAGAGGAAAAAAATGCAAGTGATGTGCAAGACAAAAACTATCAGGACTTGTTCCACTTTTGAAAGAACTTGCTCACTTTCTGCTCCAGAAGCAGCAAACAAATCAATTCTAACCATAACTAGTGATTTCAGTCTAAGATTTAAACCAAAGTAGTAAACATGTGCAGGATCTCAATTCTTTAATCAAAGAAGATGCATTAAAATAAAACAAATAGGCAACATATAGGTTGGCTGAAGAACATTATATTTAGTAGTCAACATCTCTACACATGGTGCTAAAGTGAAGCAACGGTAAAGGAAGGGAAAGCCAATGATTTCTAGTAGAAGAGAAGGAACCCTTGACAWGTAACGCACCTCTCATCTGAGAGTTTGCAGATTTTTTGAGCCATTTTAGGAGACCAGAAACAGGACCCCAAGACCTGTCACAGCTCTACCATTAAAAACAAACAAATGAAACACACACATACCCCATTACAGGATTGAGCACTATTGCTCGAGGCTCATCTAGGTTTTCTGAGATGAGGATTTTTCTTGATGTCCCATTCAAGCGGGTCACTTCAATGCGGTCTGTGCCAGTGTCTGTCCAGTAGAGGTTCCTGGCCACCCAGTCCACAGCAATGCCATCCGGATGGTTGATTTCTGTGGTTACCAGAGTCTGCGCTCCAGAGCCGTCAAGGTAGGCCCGTCGTATTGCCCGGACATCATCATCAGTCCAGTAGATGTAGCCTTCCACAGGATCATAGTCTATAGCAATCGCGTGTCTGATATTGTCTATCTGCAGAATAATATCAGTGAAATCTGGCATGTCCAAGGAGATTCTTCTTAAGTCAGTCCTTCTAGCCAGCAGCAAGACTTCTTCAGCGCCTGGGGGAGCAAAAAGAGATTTAGGACACTAATCTGCAACTACAGCAGTCACGGAAGAAGCTTTAAGAGCACAAGTAGCCAAGTGTACCACAGTGGAAGGCTTTGCTTCTCTGCTTCTCTCCACAGTCACTTCTTCTCTGGGACTGAAAATAAAGTGTCATGTTTAGTCCAAGTTAAGCAAGATTCAGGCCTCGAAATTTAATATGGAGGGGAGGATGTGTCTGGTCATCAAGATGTTCTGTCAGAACAGAAGAGTGAGCACAAATTGTTCTAGTTCAACTGTCTTGAAAGCGAGCAGCCCTGCAGCTGCCCAGTTACCCACGGCGCTCTGGCCCACACCCCCCGTTCAGCAGCTCAAGAAATCGTCCCAGGCTCAGTCTCAGGGARGAGCGTGGCTAAAAAACGTGGATAAGAAAACCAGCATACTTTAAACTGAAACTTGGGTAGAAAAGAAATAATAAGTGGAATAAACTACTTGGTTGATTTCAAGTTGTGGCTGCTTGGCAATTTCACCTTCAGAGATGCATCTGCTTCTAATGAAGTTAAATTATTACGCAATCAGTTTCTTGACAGCCATGTATCTACATCCTTAGACATTAAAAGAGCAAAGCAACACAGCAAATGTCTCATTAATTCCGCCCCACAGCCTGAAGGTTGGTAAAAGCATCATTCCTGTGGCCAGTTCTGCGATAGGTGCAGAAATATTGGCCTATATCACAGCAGAGCCAGAAAGCATAGTGTTTRTTAAATGCATAATTGCCTTTAGTATTTTTTACATTATTATTTTTGCTAGAAAATAAAAGCAGCAGGCTGAGTGCAGCACTAGTTGCTGAGAAGCTCTCAGCGCTGCCACCGCTTCTCTGCAAACCCGGACAAACACGCTCCTCTGCCTCATGCTGTTTTATCTCTGCCACGGAGGCATTTGGGTTATTAATGCTGGTAGACTGTTTTGAAGAGTTGTGCTGCGACATGTCTAGCATAATATTAAGTAGAGCCTGTCTAATAGTCTGCTAYTTGCCTACTGCTAAAAAGTTCTAGAGCATTGATTTAATTCAATCAAAATTCAAAAGCCTCTCGCGTAGCAATCACAGTCACTTTTCTTAATCATATGACTAAGAGCTCCCCAGCAGAATTACTATCTATTAAGAGAAGGTCACATATAACACCTCATAGGGAACAAAAGCCACCTTTTCTCCCCTTTTCTCCCTATGTACTTTTCTCCTTTTTGGAGAACACAAATTGTTCCGAGTGCTACAGCAGCGCAACTGCAGCAAGCAAACACTCCTGCAGACACTTAATGCAAACTTGTCTATGCCAACCGTAGACCAGAAAAAGAAGAAATGGAGTCGCTCTAAAATTTCCACTTAGAAAGCATTTCAAAAGGCCCAAGTCCAAATTGTTATATTATTTTTCCAATTGGTTTGAACTTTGAAATGTTTATTTTTCTCTAGTCTTGCCCCCCACCACCTCCATTTGCCCCAGGCTTTCTGCAGACCTTCCATGGACTGTCTGAGCAGAACTAACAGCCATACAAGCCCATGAACCATTCCAGTTAACATGCAGAACCAAAGCAAACAATATCTGAATTTAAAAAGAACCAAACAGAACAGAAAATAAAATAATGCAGTTCAGGAACGTTAATTGTTACTCCCTGAAGACTGTATTCTCTCTTGGCAATCAAGAAATCCGACAAACTGTTTAAGAGCCTTTTTGTTGTTGTTCCTGCACGYGATATGTTCCTCCCACACCTATAATCCATTATTTTTAATACCCATGCTAGGTATAGYGTTTGCTGTGATTCTCTTGTTTTGTGCTCCCACTATTAAAAATTCATGCTCCAGTGCTGAAAATGGCAGCTGTATTCTATTTGCAAAATTAACCGCAATCAGAGCTGACAGCACTGAAGCAGGCCATCTCACCAGCCTGACAAGAGCCTTTTTCTTCTTCCCTTGGCCCACTTCACATTTGACAAGTGACAAGACATCCATAATACAGTAACAAATGCTCCAATTTATTCACCCAACCTAAACAAATGGGGACGGCAGCGGTGGCGTTTGCTAATCCGCGCAGCGAGCACTATGCTATTCCTTTCCCATTTGTCTGTCTGCTAATCAGGCGAGAACAAGGCTCCGTTGTGGGAGCCTCTTGCCCAGGTTTGTGTGTGCGCATGCGTCTGCCAGGATACGCTCGCTCCATGTACTGCTTGCAGTCCCTCTTTTTGTGGGAAAAATCTGATAAACTGCAGAAACGCTCAAGCGGTTAGTGCTTCTTCAAGGAACAAAAGAGCAAGCACTTTTGGAAAACAGAGCATTAAAAATACTTTGACCAGAGGCAACTTTTTATGAGCTGCCTGAGTGCAGCTATCTCGGCACTCTCAGTAAGGCCAACAGTTGTATGAAGAAAGCAGGCAACAGTGTGAGCTGCAGTATTTCAGCACGCTACCTGGCAAAGTTTGGGGACGGCAGGAAGGAGGGGGAAGGTAGGATGCACATCTTTGTGTGGAGCACCTGAGCTACGGCAGTGGTGCTGAGCTGCTYAATAAACTTGCCAGGACTCCAAATAATCGCAAGGTCTCACGTGAGCATTTAGGAGGCGGGAGGTGCTGCCACTCGCTATGGGAGGCCCCAGCTGGTACCGAGAGCACTGCGCAAAAATCCACGCCTGCAAGCGGCTTCCACCAAAACCACTAATACTTGGGAGCTGAAACAAATGCTGGTATTATCTAAAGATAAACGGTAATTCTTTTTATACATCCTCCTCGATTTTAGTACCTTACTAGAGCCAGCTGCAACACCAGCAGAATCTTGTATCCCAGCTGGGGTCTTGATTTATCCCCTTGGTGAGAGGATCTGCAGCAGCGCTGGGGCTGCTTTGGGAACAGCGGGGCATGGACTCTCCCCCAGACACTGTGGGCTGGGACATGCATCAGTTTTATCAACTGAAACCAGGAGTCAGACTGTGGGAGCAAGCAACCAAGAAAAGAGAAACGGGGAGGGTTATTCGAGAGAGGGCCTTGCGTGCCCTTGCTCAGGCACAGCCCCATCTCGTCGGAAGGTGTGAGCAGGCACAAGGAAAAGCAGCGCTTGTGACAAAGACAGGAAATACCAGAGCGCTCACGTAACTCATAAATTACGTCAGATCTGTCTGTAGGCTCCTGTGAAAGCTCCTGGCCACTGTTTCTTCCATTGCTTCTGTAGCAGGAATCTCACAGCTGCTTTCCCCAAACCAAGGAGAGAGACAAAATAGTTTCAGACACTTCTGGCACATGGTTCATACAGCCACTGGTGGGGGGAGCAACCCTCAAACCGAATATTAACTAAGTTTCCCAGCTGATAAGATCATTTGCCCAAACCAGCTGACCAAGGCGAAAGCAAAGTCTCCTCCAGAGAAAGCTGCTACCATGCAGACGACAGCTACTGACCTTCACGCGGCGCGCCAGGAGTGAGGCTCTGTGCAGCACCTCGCTCCCACCTAGCCAACAGCACCCTTGCAAGCCCACAGCTTCATGAAGTCACTGTTGACAGAGGACTACGGAACTCTCCTGCAGGTTTATTCAAACTGACTATATTAGATCCGTCCTGACTGCACTGGAGCCTCCAGATCCAAAGAGCAGCAGAAGTGGCCTTGGCTCCACCAAACAGACGACTTGCATTTTGACAGGGACTTCATCCAAAGATCTCAAAGAACTCAAACAACTAAATCTTCCCCTCTCTCCCGAGGTCTGACCAGCTATATTTTGTGTGCACCATGTCCGAACRGCAGATCACAGGTATCTTAGTCCCAGCAACTAATTCATCACTTGCAAAAATGTTCACATGCCTTTGCACAGACATCTTAATGACAGCTCATAGCAACGCATTAAGAAAAAGGATGGGCCAAGAAAGCGCCTGCCAGGAATCCCCAGTGCCAGAAAAGGGCTATACCAGTATTGCCTTGGGAAGCATGAGCTCTAGAGTTGCAAATAGTCTCTTCTGTGCTGGAGAAATACAACCTTATGGGCTCAGAGTATGAAATCTCCGCCCTTAGAAGTGGTTTAGTCATTTTACCACTTAGTTTTTGTTAAATAGAATTTTGCTGGTGCATCTTTAAGTACATAAACAAGCAAAAATCCATTAAAGCCCATCAAGACACATAACATACATTTTCACATCCAGCAGAGGCAGAGAATGTCTTTACTACAGTGCCAACTCCTGAGCTCTCCACAAGACCTTGTACCTATTACTTTGTCTGTACTGYAGTTTCTTCCTTTAGACAATCAGGACTAAACACTTCATGTCCCACAGGCCCCCACAGAGGTTAATAGCTGCACCATCCTTTGAAGTTCAAGTGTTAATTATGTTCCAAATATGACGGAGACACAGAAAATTCAATTCTGAGCTAACACCWTCATCCGTCCAAAGGATAAGCAAGATGGGAAAAGTTATAAACAACTGCAAATTGGGCTTGGCAAAGCCAGGGAGCAGCTCAGCCCGACTGCTGCAGTAAAATCAAGAGCTTGGCCACGGAGCAGTTGAAGACACAGCTTAAGTACAGCGGCTTAGTGAGTTACACCGCATCTGGGAACTTCTCAGGTCTGCGTGCTCAGCCCCAGATGAATGCAAGGTAACAAAGTTTGCTCGTAAACCTCTCCAGGGAGTCAGGATTGCTGCAAAGCGAGCCCCTGGCTTCCCCACCACCACACACACACACACACACACACACAGAGCCAGTCACCATCGCTCAAGCAACCACAACAACTGCACGTGTGAAGGAGCCCAGGGCAGTATCCACCTGAAACAGGCACCAGGACAGTCAAGCACTTCATTCAGCAGACCTGGAAACTCCTGGAAAACACAGCTAGATGACAACGTGCCTTATAGCATTAGAAAACACTGTTTTCAGTCAGTGAAACTTTAAAGGTAGCTGTTTTCATGAGAGGTTTTTGTTTGTTTTGGGTTTTTTTTTTTTTTTTTTTTTTTTTTTTTTAACTTCTGCGCATTTAGAAGGTAAAAGCTGCTCTG